TTTTGCACGCCCGGGTACCCCGGGTGCCCGGACGGGCGTGAGAATCTTCCTAGCTTTTGCCTTGCTGTTTTATATGTTTTTTATTATTATTTTTTGGATTTTTTTTCGCAGTTAGTTAGTGTGGTCTCCACCCTACGAATTGGTGGCAGTTTGATTAAAATGACCCTTTGGTTTTCATATAAATGGCATGGCAACTTGGCAAGTGGTCTGAAAATTAGGGTCTCCGTTAACCTTCTCTCAAAAAAACGACAAACGGTTCTGCTTGGTACTTACGGATACATACTCTACTTCGCATTGTGTACGATTTTCTGCAGGTGAGAGTGTATCGGATGATTTGCACGGGGACTGTAGAGGAGAAGATTGTGAAGAGGGCCAATCAGAAAAACACTGTACAGCAGCTGGTTATGACAGGAGGACAGTCACAGGCTGATCTGTTTGAGCCAGAAGAGGTCGGTTCTTTTTTTTTTTTTTCTTTTTTTTTTTGTTTAGAGGTTAGGCACTCGTTGATGCAGTGCTGCAGTAGAGCTCCCAGGGGAACTGTGAATGTCTTTTTGTTTCCCCTTTTTTTCCCCCCCAAATATGCGTTCGCAGGGATTCATTTCGGTGTGCAATTCCGAATGTGGGAAAATGATGAGATTCGTCTTTTGCATCGAATGCCAAGAGGGAGGGTTGTGCTGTAGACTTTCTCCTTTTAGAAAGATGGGTGGGACTTCGTCCTAAGTAGATTTGATATGATCGATCTTATCTAATCTCATCCACATCGCATTAGGATGATTGGATCTGATCAACATCTGATCAGGTGAACCATCCATCCGTCCGTCCATCTATCCATCAATCAATCAATTATTCAATGAAATCAATCTATCAATCAATTCGCCAATCAATCAATCAATCAATCAATCCACCAATCAATCAATCAATCAATCAATCATGAACAGTTGCTTGTTTGTGACATGCAGTCCCACGAGGCAGGTATAGCTAAACTTGCTCCTTGTATAATTGTGTCTAGTACCACCACTCAATCAATCAGTCCACCAATCAATCAATCCACCAATCAATCAGTAAACCAATCAATCAATCATTTATAGCTAAACTTTTTCTCCTTGCGTAATTGTGTGTAGTAACTGGTGCGACATTCTGTCGGTTTGATTTTTCTCGGTGCCTTTTGATTTCGTGAAGTCACTGAAATGTGTATCTTGCAGCTCCTTGCGATTGAATCGTTTTCATTGTTGCAGCATTTCCGTGGTCAGGTTGTGTTACCTGTCTGCGCTTTTTTTTCCCTTTTTCTTTGGGTGGTCTTACCTCCTACCCCCTTGTTGCTCTCCACTCAACTTTTTGAACCATCGCAAGGACAAGGCCTGCTGGGTGCCGCCAGCTTTGTTGGTCAGACAGGCTACGCTTTTCCACTGCCCCCCCCCCCCCCCCCCCCCCCCCCCCCCCCGTTCTAACC